GGAACAAATTTTTGTGAGTGCAAATTTCCAATCAATCTCATTGATCTCTCGCGAATCCTATCCAAGGACCGGAGATCAGTAAATTGAGATTTGAAAGGAAGGTAACTTGAGTCACAAGCGCTCATTTTGCCAAAAGTCAAAGTTCGACCAAGAACTCTTGACTTAAAGGATTGAAACCCAATCCTTATCTGGTTAAGGTCCAAGCCACCTTACCAGTCAGCACAGCGTTCAAGCCAACCAGGCACGCTTGCAAATCAGAGATCAGCAACCAGCTGCCTCTACTTGACGGATCACCAGAAGATACGTCTACCAAGTTAAAAACCTTGCTAACTTGTACCTTCAAGCAACCAGCTTTCAAAGGAAGAGAAGAAAACAGAAGTCGGTATAGCAAAAATGGCCGCTCTTCAACTCTTCAAACACAAAATCAACAACGCTTGCAAGCTCGTAAAATCCTACGAGTCCGAAGTGGAGAACGTAGACGTCCCCTTCATATTTCCAACAACAAAAGCGGAATGTGAAGAATATATCAAAGAAAAGGCAGGAGTAATAACAAATCTCCTCAATTCTTTGCAAAACGCTGTGAAATTGCAAGAAACACAGCTCAACGCTGCCATTGAGTACATCAGTGCACGCAGTGAAGAAAAGGAACGAGAGAAGCTGATGGTTGAACTTAGCAAGCATTTGGAGCTGGAAGCACTCGATCTGGAAGTGATAGCAGTTCAGTGGCAAAACAGAATACAGTTCAGACAACATGAACTGAGGGAGCAAACGACACTTTTGCATACGCCTGCTCCTAGTATTCCAAGTCAGCCAGACAGCGAGGTAGGAAGAGGCTCAACAACGGAACGAAGTGTACGCCAGATCGGGATCCGGAAACCGCTCCTAGAGGTTCCTACATTCTCTGGCAACTTCAGTGAGTTCAACAGTTTTTGGACAGTGTTCGATTCACTTATTCACTGCGACGAAGACTTATCGGATGGCGACAAATTCCTTTTTCTAAAGCAAGCGCTCAAAGGAAAAGCAGCTGCTGCTTTGAATTGCATCCCTGTTGTCGGAGACAAGTATCAGACAGCCGTCAACATTCTAAAGAAACACTTCGATCGCTCTGCCAACATAACAGACATACTCATCAACGAAATCGAACGACTTCAAGAAGCAAATTACAGTCCCGAAAGTTGCCGAGAAACGTTCGAAGCAATCAATTCACGGATCATCCACTTGGAACAAACTGGAATGAAGATGAGCGCAGACAGAATTTGGCGCAGAATGATTCTGTCCAAATTTCCTGAAGACATCTGCGCAACCGTCACACAGAAGGAAGCCGCAAGTGGAGATCAATTCGATGTTTCTAGGATCCTAGACACGATCGACGACATCATCTCTCTGCGGGAAACGACTGCGTTAACGATGGAGACACTCATTTCGAGTACCCTTCAAACAAGCAACCATCAGGACACAAGTCATGACGGTCCGAAATGGGAAGAAGAGAAAGGATATCTCGAGCAGTCTCACTTTCCTACCAGCTACAATCATCATTTGAAGGTCTCCAAGATACTGCAAAGAACCAACTTCGATAATCGCAAAGCAAGTGAAGTTCACGTTGCACAAACTCAGCGAAATGGACAAGAAGTCTACAGCTCAAGCAAACTGCCACTCATGTGCCAAAGCGTACTTCTGGGCCCGTAGTAATCCACCCTACCTGCCGGCATGTCTTGCCGGCAAGTCGCCCTGATCTCGACCTGAGGTCGCCAGAATTTCCAACTCCCTACGTAGACTCGCAAGCCAGACAAATCACCTTTTTCTGCTGTGATACTTTAGTTTTTCCATCAAATTAGTATGGGGATTGAAAAAAAATCAAGAAATGTCCTCATTTGCCTTTTATTAGGCGGGAAGTGTGAACCTGCCGGCAGGTTCGCGATCTATTTTTGTCGAAAATCGAGATGCCATCTCGCCCTCAGCCTGCCGGCATCTCGCCGGCAGGTTAGAGAGAGTACGAAATAGTGTGCATTTGGTGGAGTGCAACCTGCCGGCATCTCGTCGTGCCCCTACCACGACGAGATGCCGGCAGGTCGCACTCCACCAAATGCACACTATTTCGTACTCTCTCTGACTTGCCGGCATGTTCTTGACATGCTGTGATTTTTCCCGCATCTTTTAACGATTTCTTTATTTTTATTATCTTTTCTTTGTAGATGAGGCATATTTACAACCCCATAATAGGTGATAAATATGAATCGCTGGTATGATTACTGTTTCGATTCTGTTATCATAAAACATTGCTGGTATGATTATTCCGTTTCTGTTGAAGAGAAAACAAACGTTGCTCGCTTTTTCATTTTTAAAGGCTTTCATTTCACTTGTATGTATTTTTATAGGTGAGCAGACAAGTGGCTATCGTAAAGTGCGGTTCATAATTATACGAACACCAAAAATTTTGTAAGTTTTTGGACTTTTTGAGAGAAACTCAAAAAGCCGTTGCCACCACGCGATAGAACACAGCCGAAAACGGTATGTGATCCATAAGAATGGAAATCGATGTTAACTAGGAGTGTTTTTGCGGCTAATCCGAATTTTAGCGGTTCATAATTATACGAACACCTCAAACAAAGGTCCATTTTTCATTCAAGATTGCAATCGTTTAAGTCCAAACTTTTTGAATAGTTACAGTAACAAAGTCTGACATATCTGCTATATACTAAACCCAGTGCAGTTCAAAAAGAGGATCGTTGCTTTTTCAAAAGGGGCTAAATGCTTTCGGAGTGATTGGGCTCCAGAAACATCCGTTCTTCTGTGTTTTACGCGCTCTAATCAGCTTCTACCAAAGCTTTGAGATGAAATAAGCTCTTGCGATAGGTATTTTGTTTGACGCTTTGAAAATCTTTGCGTTTTCGTGCCGTTTTTCAACCAGGTTCCAACCTTACCACAGAGTTACCACGAATTCGAGCCTCAAAACTCAGCTTCTGAAGCCGTACAATGAAGTAAGCATATAGTATGTAGAAGTTTACAAGACTTTATATTTGCTTAGAAAAAATCAGCAGCGATGAGCGTTTGTTTTGGTCACGCAGAAGTTATTTCACCAGAAATACTGTTTTTACTATTGCAATCTCACCTTTATTTGGTTTGTAGCTCCACAGCCGCAAGATCAGTTCTAGAAAAAACCCAAAAACTTTGGTACAGAAATATCATTATGCAACCAATGCAGCTGCTTCATATCAAATGTTTGCGCAAGAGAGAAGCTGAGTTTTGAGGCTCGAAATCGTGCTAACTCCGTGCTAAGGATGGAACTTGGTTGAAAAACGGCACGAAAACGCAAAGATTTTCCAAGCGTCAAACGAAATACCTATCGAAAGAGCTTATTTTATCTCATAGCTTTGGTAGAAGCTAATTAGAGCGCGTAAACCACAGATGAACGGATGTTTCTGGAGCCCAATCACTCCGAAAGCATTTAGAGCCTTCTGAAAAAAGGAACGGTCCTCGTTTTGAACTGCACTAAGTTCAGTGTGTAGCAGATATGTCAGACTTTGTTACTGTAACTCTTCAAAAAATTTGGACTCAAACGATTGCAATCTTGAATGAAAAATGGACCTTTGTTTGAGGTGTTCGTATAATTATGAACCGCTAAAAATTTGCATTAGGCGCAAAAACACTCCTAAAATTGATATCGATTTCCATTCTTATGGATCATATCCCGTTTTCGGCTGTGTTCTATCGTGGTGTCAACGGCTTTTTGAGTTTCTCCCAAAAAGTCCGAAAACTTACGAAATTTTGGGTGTTCGTATAATTATGAACCGCACTTTATACCGTCAGTCATTATCTCAAGAGACCTCATTAGGTCCTTTGTGCCGTCGCGGATTCGGCAGTGGCAAGGTACTTTTTCAAGTTTTGTACTTTGGTGAACCTACTGTGTTAAGCACAGGCCACTTTATTTGAGGGTATATTTTTTTATTGTGAAGGTCTGTAACACACCCACCTACTCATATATAAGTTTCTGAAAAGTTAATGTGATGCCGAGTACTTACGATCTGTTTATCGTTGGGCCGAAAAAGCTCAAAAAAGCCCGAAAGCCCCAGAAAGAGTCTGAACGCCGCTTCCGTTTTGACGCTAAGGCATGTGTGTTGATTTTGCAACCGAGTCTTTTCGTTTCATTTTCTGTCGTCTGCACATTAAGGCAATGTCAGAATTCTACCATAAGTTTGTTTCTGCGTTCCGGAGTTGGAGCATGATATCTTTTCTGCTTTTCTGCAAACATATTCGTACTGTTTACCGGTTTTCGTTTCTTAGGATAAGCGGAGCTTTGAGTCATGTTGAACGTGGCTCGGAGTGTTAGGCACGCCTTGAATTTTTTTGGTATCCTCCAAAACTTTTGCTGTCCATAATCCCAACGTTTTAAAAAAAGATGTGCGCGCAAGAGGTTCTTTACCCACAACTTTTTAGGACTTTGTCTATGCTAGAAAGAAAAACACGGCAGTTGCGAGCGGTGCAGCGACAGTGCAGCGCTTTGCGGCCGCGCAAGCTTCATGAGCGATCAAGAGGTGCTCACGGCACCCGTAATGGTTTTCGCAATGATCGAGAGCTTCTCGAGGCAAGTTATAAAGCAATTTTATGTTTTGTAATGATTGTCACCATTTTTGTTGCTGCTTGCACGCCCTTTTATGATGGATTATCCTTCAAATTCTTCTTTTACTGCATGGTGTTTACAGAAATAATAAGCAGAAAAATCTTGAATGGGTCGTTCTTTGCACGTCATATTTTCATATTTGAAGCAGATCTCATCACATGTGATAAAATATCACTTAAGCTGCTGGCTGTAGGTGTTGGATCTAGAATGTGCAGCATCTACTTCTATGAAGTCTTGATTGCCTCTAGATTGTTTCGGTGTAGAACGACTGCATTTTACCGTTATTGGACATACCTTCTTATTATAAACCCGTTTCATTTATTGAAGTTGTCAGTCAATTCTGTTTCGATGAAGTCGAGAATCAATTTCTAGGATCAACATTATGTTTCCATGTTTGATTCTCACTACTCAAATACGATTTTCAGTCCCACTGCTTGGTGCACAGATTAGCTTGGAGTTTTTCCAACGTCGACCCCGTCCATGGCCACTAACAACGGAATCTGTAGCATGGGAGCGATGGATATTACTTTTGGACATTTTCAAGGCTAATTCTTATGGTGAGCTAATTGCTTGCACGCCATTGGCCATATCTTTTACAAAACGTGACCTCATTGGTTGTCCTAGTTGGTCTTGGTTTAGTTGTCCATGGCAATTGTTGAGCTATATGAAAGCTTTCATGTTTTTTGTGCTTTCCGTTTTGATCGTGAATTCTGTCTAACATTCTACTTGCTCACGCACACATTTCAGATGATCATGCACGGATGCGAGTATCCGTAGCCGAAAGCGTCGGCGAAATTGTTCTTCAAGTGTGCAGTTCCATAAATCGGCAACAGTATCTACCCAAGATGCCGACAAGGACGGAGCTCTCAAATGTTTTCGACTCAAATCTTCCGGATTGTCAACCGTATCTCTTCAAAGTCTGTCGCACTCCGATTAGACCAGGTACGCAGCTACTTATTATCTTTCTAAAAAGTTTTTTTTCTCGCTTATTCTGACATTAATCGACAAAGTTCGGTGAGAATGTAGGTTTCGTAGTAGGACTCTCTATTTTTTAACAGAACTAATAGTCTAAAACGACGCAGTGCATCAAGTTGAAATAGCTTCACCTTTTCAATTTCGGCCGAATAATACTGAAGCAGTGGGATTTTTTTTCTGTTACTTTGCACATTCACTAATTTTGGAATACATTTTGTCACCATTCCTTCAAACATACAATATGGCACTACAAATCGATAGCTTGACCAGTAGAGTGTTTTGCTTTGATAAACATCATTTCAGAGAGTACCACAAAGACGGGCAGTGATGGAATGCGGCGGTAATACGCAACCTTATGATAAACTAATAATTTGCTTAGGTCAGTATTGTTTTACAACTTGCATATTTTACGTGTCTTTGTCGAGGGGTATACATATCGCTATCATTTAACAAAGACTGCCACTGATCTGTATCAAGCTCCCGGTTTAAGACCTTGTCTTTCCGCATTTGCGGGTCCACTTATTGTGAAGTCGTTTACGATCCAGTTTTAGGTTTTTGTTTTGCTGTTATTGAAGTCGGACAAGTCATCTGATTTCGATCTTCTTGCATTTTGATCAGCCTATCATCTTGAGATTGCTGATTTGCAAGTTTTAGCTATGGAGCTCTGCTATGTTGTCAGTCGCATTATCTCAATTTGATAAGCTGTTATTCCTTAGTGTACATTGTTTCAATTTCATATTAGTTCAAGGTTCATCGTCACTTTTTGTTTGCCTTCACCATTTCCATGTAAATACATGTGCATAGTTTCTGGTTGTTCTTGTGCAAACCTCATTTTTTTCATTTTTTTCATAAATTACTTCGCTGTGCTTGCAGGCTTGTTCCCGGGAACGGTGATTGGATGGGCGTGCATGAATGAGCAGGCATTGCCGGAGGGGTGGTGTCGAACTTGGGGTCCTTATACTGATGTACGATGTTACCGACGAATCTACTCGACTTTCTAGGCTATCTCTTCGAAATTCTTCGCAGCGATGCCCAAGAAGTTGCAATGATTTCCTTCTCGCGGGTAGGTGAACGAAAGCGGCTAGTTTGAGGCGCCTTTTGCGGCCAACTGGTCCTTATGCAGTATCGTTGCATGTCGTTTGAGGACCAGCAGGCCGCGGGGGCGGCCCAAACTGGCGGCTCTCGTTACCCTACCCTCTTCTCGCAAGTTTTGAGTGGGGGGAGGGGGGGGAGGGGCATCTAGGAAGGGGTACTACCTAGGCATATTTTGTTGAAAGCGTTTGAGCTGTTTTGGGCTCGTTGCCCAAAGCAGCCGTACTAAGGGGTTCAGTATAGGCAAACCCATATTTAAAATCGCATGGAACCGTATTTATCACTGCACTACCTTATTGTTGATTGATACGCTTAGTAAACCATGCCTTGGGCTGGTTGAAATCTTCTCGGTCATTGAACTCCTTTTCAAGCCTTCCCACAATTTCAGGCTTATACATCTGAGACACATATGACTATATACGCAGCTTCTTTACTGGGATTGTTAACATCCTGTTCGCTCATTCAAATGCTTGACTCCGAGTTGTTTGTCCTTTCCTTGCCTTAAACATACTTGGTGCATGTACGCGCAGCTCGTACCAACAGGAATTAGTCCAAAATTGGCTTGACTATGTTGGGTTCCTTTGAATATCTCACTTGAATGTTATGCGTAAACCACACGGGCGAGGATTGTTTTAGACTGATCAGATTGTGGGTGCGCGCTGGCCTGACGCCACTGTCATGATCTAGGACCAGCGGAACTTGTTACGAGCTATCTATGTTCAGTTTGCTTAGTTTCGATAAAGAAGGCTCTCACGAAAAAAAAACGCTCCTACACGAATGGCTAGCTCAGCAGTGAACATGTACCTATCTGTGATGAACATGTTAACGCGAAGGTGACTGGTGAACTTGATCAACCTTTCTGGAATGGATCGTAATGTACACGTGTAGTTCAGTGCTTAACGTGCTGACTATCGCTGGCGAGAAGAGAGTTCCATCCCGGCAGGTGCAATGGTTTTGCGATCGACCTTACATTGCACAGTGACCTGTTATATCGGGAGGCTCTAGGAGCTCGCTAACCTCGCGCCCCAAAAACGAGCTTGTCGTGAGGTTCGCGAGCTTGCCGTCATGTCTTATGCCAACATGCGGGGTAGATTACTACGGGCCCAAACGGCTTCAGCAATGATATTCAACGAGGCAGATTGGGATTATCAGCCCATAACAATACTGATTGGCTCTGGCGCCCAGCGAAGCTTCATCAAATCAAAACTCAGTAAAGAGCTTAAGCTGCCAGTCATCCAAACGACGTCATTCACCGCGTCAGGAATGGGAGAATTAAAAGAGACATTCAGTTCCAGTGAAGTACAAATTACTTTGAAAAGCCTTCACAACGCGAAGAAGCTGAAGAAGATATCAGTGCACACGAAAGAGAAGTTGACTGCCAAACTACATACAGCAGATCTCACAGATGCAGATGTCCGCTTCATTTCCACCAGAAACTTGACAATAGCTCAAGATACGCTCACCCATAAGATCGTCTCACCCGATCTCCTTATTGGACAAGATCTTCTTAACTTCCTCACTGTTCACACCGAAACAGTGCTCAAGCTTCCCTCGGGGCTTATCTTAACCCCAACCATCTTTGGATATGCCATATCCGGTAGAAGCCGTACCAACGTGAGCACAGAGATCGTCGACACCTTTGGTTGTACATCAACGATGCAGAAACATTCCAAATCTGCCCCTCACCCTCAACAACACGCCAAATGGCTAACGACAAAGAAAACGGGCACTAATTTTCAACGAAAGAAGTACACGTGCAATCAACAGGAGAATCTTCCGAGCGCATGCTGAAATAAAATCTCAAAAGACAACGAAGTTGTTACCGAAAAAGAGAAAAAGCCGGACAGCTGCTTTCAACCGCGAGGCTAAGGCAGACAGACAACGCTGGCTGACCGAAGTTCGCTGCATATCAGGCTCTTCCATTTCCAGCTTCAACACGAGGATTGCGAATAGAACTCTTGCTACAACACCTCAACCGACGACAACTAAGAAGAAGATGATGGACATGCCGACGATCAATCGCGCACATCTAATCACGAGAACGCCGGCTGTCAAGGAGACAATCACCGCTAACGATTCTGATGATTCGAAAGCACGGGGACAATTTCGACGAGGAAGAAAAGACTTGGACGAGGAATGAAGCTACACCACGAACAGCAACCACCAACCACCAAAACTATTCACCGTAAATTCTCTTCTGTGTGTAGCTCCCATAAGTATGTCTAAATCTATACAAATCTATGCTTTTGTTATAATTTGTGCCTACCAGATTAACTTCTTGCTTGCTCGCCCGGAGTGTTGATGATCTATGAATCATCAACCTCGACAACCAATAAATAGCTTACACTCATGAACACAGCTATATCTCAATTTCTAAGTACAAACGCTTTTAGGAGGTTTTGATTGTATTTATTTATTTACATTTCAACAGATTTCCCCTCCTCCTTGCTCGCCCGGAGTGTTGATGATTTATGCATCATCAACCTCAGCAATTCTATAATCCTTATAGCTTACGGGTATTCCCCATAGGCTATATTTCCCAATCGCTTATATTTAAGTGCCGTATCACTCAGCAGTGAGTAGCACCTATCTTCCAGGGGCCGCGCCAAGCCGCGGCATCCCCTTTCTTGTGTTTATTTCTTGGACAGTCTGATTGTGCACGGGTCAGCTCCGCCTTACTACCTATATAAGGAGCCCCCGAATGTATTATTGGTTGCTTCCCCGGTTCAACACCGAGGTTCGTCTGTGGATAAATTATTATCGACACCACTATCGCCTATAACACTTGGTTCCCACCAAACTCTCTGTCCCGATGTATATGTGTGCCAAGTTTGGTCCAAATCAGTTCAGAAATAAAAATTACTATTCCGCACTTACGTACAGACATACAGACAGATAGACATACAAACAGACATTCAACTTTATATATAAGATTTCGTAAATGAACAATAACATTATAGAAATAACTGTCTCAATCAGTCAAGATATTTCTTTATGTTACTTCATTGCCCACAGATAAGGTGGGCTGCTATTCCATCAACCAAGCGACGAAACGAGCGGCAGCCATACTTCAAGCCTTCTTTTACAATCTTTTCCGAGTAAATTCACATGGCGGAGACTTTTCCCAGTAAATTCACATGGCGGAGATAATTTGAAGAGGAGGATATTTTCGAATTATTGATGAAAACGATCAATATGTTTTTTGATTTTAAAAAATCTGACTAGCTATTTGAGTCATTTTAAATGCTCTCGTAGCTCATCGAAAATGGCTTTGTTAACACATGTCAAGCTGAGCTTAACCTTTTGCTTTTCATATCTTGACACGTGGCAAGGAAACGGTTCGGGTGAACGAGTAACTCAATTGGGCACCGCCTCCGCGGACTACTGGTCCCAACACGATGCGCAACAGCAGGACGAAAGGACCAACAGCCCGTGGAGGCAGTGTCTATTAGAGAGGTGTTCGTTCCTCTATCCTCCAGACAGCGGAGAAGTACAGTCGTTTCCGTGAAAAAATATACAGACGGAGTTGTATATATTTATATATTCATATTTATTTTTATTCAAATCGTTTGTGTTATAATACTAGTGAACCAGTAATGTAAAGGTGCTATTTGCAAGAGCGTTCGCTTCAGGACCGCCACGCGGTTTCCCGCTATTTGCAGATTTTTGAATTGCGCTTACGTTTCTTTATATATTAGATTATTACTACTCAGGATAGAAGCCGAAACAGAGGTGACGCAATGCCAGTGGCGGTCCCAGGATTTCGGACCGGGGGGGGGGGGCGCGGCAAAAATTTTTTTCAAATGAAGGTGCCCCGAAAAAATTTTTGTTGTACTCCTTAAAATTTTTTCGGGCCCTAGACCCCCAAAATTTAGAAAAAGGGGGCGTGGCGGCAGCCACGCCCCCGAGAAAAGTTTTTTTTACAAGGCTAAATTGAATTTTTAAAAAATTTTTAAAAATTACTTTAATTGATTACAAAAATAAACAAGTCATTTGCACATAGCCATGTAGGTAAGTTTTGAAAATTTCGCGACCCATTCTTGGGGGGGGGGCGCCCCTCCCCTCGGTCCGCCACTGCGCAATGCTTATTTATAGGGAAGATTCACAAAGACTTAATTTTAATATATTTATTCATAAAATTCGAAACCATCACGTATTAATCAATAACACTGGCACCAATAGTTGTGTACAGTAAATCTCGATACATAACATGTCATGACAATCCATCTTGGCCATGAATGGAACTGTCATGGGGTCAAGGGGACGAGCTGCTGAGTTTACACAAACTTTTTCAGAGAGAACATTTAGTCGATCATTTATATACTGAGCTCGAACCCAGCAGCTCAGATGGTATCACCCTGGCCGATATATACTCAAAAGGAAAGGCTTCTAACTGATAGTACAACCGATAACTGAGTAGTATTTGTGTGAACGATATGACGCGATAGTGGCAATTTTTGGATGAAAAAAAAACATTTGGTAACCGCATAAATTTTGAACGAGAAGTTCTCACCACCATCGTTCACTCGCTATATAAAAAAAGAACATGACCATCTTGCACGTTTTACAATCAAACAAAGTGTAATTAACCAAGACAACAAAGAATGGAAGGAGGAAAAACAGTTTACCAGAGATATATGGAGAGCGTCACATAAATGCGCTACATACCTTTTCAACGACCGTCGTTCACATTTCGAGATATCTCACCCGGTAACTCTAATTCAAAAAAATGCAAGAAGGATTTGCTCGGAGGTGTGCTACAACGAGCGCGTAACCCAAGAGTGAGGTGGTATACGGTATGGTTGGAAGTATACGGTAGCGGGCGCGAACGACGAAATGAATCAAGGTTTTTGCAGCGCAATACGGCTGAGATGTGATCGATGATTATATAGGATAATAACAAGGCAAATGTACTAGCAAGTAAGGCCTATAAACGTACACATATACAGAAAAAAAAACAATCAACAATTTTGTGGAGTAGATGCTTTGTAATTTTTACGATGAAAAAAAAAGGAGAAAAATTGACACATGCGTTACAGCAGAATGATCCGCAATCACCCTGTCTATCCCGACTATTCAAATGTTCACTAGTATCATCTTACTGGTATTTTGTGTAGATGGCTGATACACATACACGTAGCGAGCATATTTTCACTGCTCAACACATACGTACGCAAAGCAAAGAAAAAAATTTCTCAAGTGAGCAAAAGAGAAAAAAAAACTTTTGTGGAACAAAATGAAAACGCTATGAAACATACAATAAAGACGCCGTAAATGAGATGTGTGAAAAAAGGAGGGAAAATTATTGAGGAGGAGGAGGAAAAACGACGCAGAGAAGAAAAACGGATATAGAGGGATGAGCCTATGAAAGTGATTTGTTGTGCAGTGTGCATATGCGATTTGAAAAAATGAAGGAAAGAGATAAGAAATGATTTTCGAGAAAGAAATGATTTTTTGTTTTATGTCGATTTTTTGTTATCATAATTTTTTAATGTTTTTTTGGCCGGCTGCCATACACTGATACCGAGTTAAACCTGTCGGTTTAATATCTGTTCACATTTAAAATCAATGATGCAACCGTATTTCGAATAATTTTCATCTAAAAAAAGAAATGAAGAGAAAAAGAAGGAAAGAAACACGAACTATGAAAACTACTGTACTACAAACTACAATACTACTGATAGATTTCAAGAGAGATTAGTCCTAGAGAAGAGGAGATATCTACGAGACAGCTGCGAGAAATAGTGGCAGACAAAGTGGAGGGGGAGGGAGTGTGGCAGGGTATGAAAAATGGTATTTCTGTGAATGAGAAACTTGAATAGAAGAGGATCCCGGAATGTGCTTTTTCTGGGCACGACGATAGGCCGTACACGACTGGTTTTTCTTCACGGTTGTGTTGATATCACAGCGATCAAAAAGAGGAGTGAGAGAGGCGTCTATATCGTGAGATCGAGTGAAACCTCGTTTAGGGAAAAACTCGAGTGTGGAGGGCACTTAGTGCTCAGCAGTCACAGCCGTATTGGTCACGGATATTTGTGGGGCTTTCGGTACACAGGATGAGGAGTATGTCGTCGTACCATTGTTGGCACCACCACCTGTTCGTGGTAACCGGCGATTACGCGATTTAGAATGTTGCCGTAATGGTACTCGAGTGATTTCCGAAACATCGGCCATTCTAAAAGGTACACTCTTTAGTTCAATGCGGCCCATAGAAACTACCGTAACCCACCGGTCATGGTCCTGGTCTTCACCGTAATCGCTTGAGCTTGAGCTACCGCTGCTACTTGCTCCACTATGTGCTGTGCTAATGCTGCTTGCTGAGCTGCTCCCACGTGGGGTCGACCGTCTTGACGCTTCACTCGCCGGGGAATCACCGGTCATTGAACCGCTTGAGGTGTCACGAGTTGAGTTGAACGATGACACGTACACCATGGCTCTAAAAAAATTCAATTTTTTTACACTATAATAAATTAGTAAAATGATGGGTGTATCCCATTACTTGTGAGTGCCAATCATCGCTTCGCCGCGCGCGGCAAGGCGGGTCCAATGAGCACGCGGCTCGTACAGTGGGATAAGCGACGCTTGGGCTTAAGTACGCGGCTTAGCATTGGAGAAGCAAATGGACGTGTTGTCCGCGCTGGAGCTGGCATAATTGCCGCCGCGCGGCCTCTTAATCCGTCGCAACGCTGCAGCGCGGCAATCCACTTACAAGTAATGGGCGTCCCCCGTAAAATGATATAGAGTCTGTTTCAATTGCAGTATCCTTTCCGCGCGCGGCGAGCACCCGCATCGCGGTATTGCGCGCTTAGCGCCAATCAATAACGCCGACTTGGATGCTCACCGCGCAAGGCACTCGCGACGCGGATGTGCTGCTCGAGGAACGCCGAGATTGAGACAGACTGTAACCTCATCTCTCCCCCCCCCCCTGCCCTACAAAATCAATTTTCCAACTCACCCTCCCATTGGTGCATTCACTGCTATAGGTTTGCAGTTCAATAATCGTTTCAAATCTCTGGTTGAATCCAGTTCTTGATGTGCTTCCCGAAATGCTGATTTAATAGCATCGAATACCATTTCGTCATAGATTGAATGCGCTGTATTCGAATATGTGAAGGGTTCCTGAAAAATCATAAAATTCTCCATATCGTTCTCAAAAGCATCAGTACTCATTACCTCTATACATATACATCGCCATTGTGACCGCCAATTTGTGCCATTCTGTTGATAGCCGCCATTCGGTCGTTGTCGTGCAATTACGGCACGGTCTATTCGCTTGCCGAGTCGTACGGAAATCGCATCGCGATCGTAACTGAATTTATAAAATTCGTTGTGGTCGATCCAACCATGAGCAAAAATCGAGAAAAATCTGATATTTGTCGATGTGAATCCCTTCTGTTACAGAAAAATCAAGAATGATGAGTACGAAAATAGGAATGCACAAGATTTTCTATCAAATGCCTCTACTACGAGATTTTCGCATCAGCAGCAGTGGAAAAAAATTTCACAGCATGACAGGAAGTTGTATGAGTTAAAATCTCTTTACTAAGACTTTAAGGGTCCTGTCAAGCACAGACGGATGCCTAACTCCCAAAAAATTACTATTTAGACCTTCAATTACCATAGCGTGAGTGCAGCAGTACAATATCATAAAACTGAATGTTTTTAGCAGCCCCTCATGTCAATCACGCCTCCACCAAAGACACGGAATCGTGTCGGGACGCGCGGCAACCAATGACAGCGTCGCGCCGCTATTCGCTGCCCGCGTCCCAGCACGATTACATGTCTTCGACGTGCGCTGCATCCACACTCGAATTTCGGCCCTTTGGAACACATAACAAGAATCTACTGGGATCTGAATATCATCTGCCTAGGCAGTGCGATCAAGTAAGAAATACTTAGAGCATATTTACAGACCCAAAAATAAAAAAATGACGATAAATGGAATAACGCTAAAAAATCTCAAATGCATGCAACTCACTCGAATTTATTCGCATAATAATCCAAGAATCCAATAAGTAGTTCGCCAAGCGTTGATTTATCCGAATAGTGCCATTCTGATGTGGCTGGAGCGTCTAACGGTAATGTGACGTTCAATGTTCGTACATCGCATTTATTTGCAAATCGTCGAGGAAACATTTGTTGTAGAGACGGTAATACACCTGGTTCTGTGCCACCTAGAAAATCACACGAAAATAGGTACAGTAACCCGAAAAAAAACAAAAAACTCTCACTTACATTGTAGATAATGTATAACCATAAGTACAAGTGAATAACTTGTAAATGAAGATCGATTCGCATCATTGATACCTTTACGTTTTGCCCATTCCTTTACCACTGATACTAGTGGTCGTACACGCCAATCAACTGTAATTACCGTAATCACGTCTACACCTGGTTAAAAATCGTTTTGTAACTTACATGAGGAATAATAGCATAACAAATGTGTGTTCTTGATAGCCACAGAATTATTGGCATTCAAATCCACTGTAATATCGGAGAAAGGTGCTGCAAACTTAATCCGGAGAATCGGAACCTATAATGATTTTTTTACAATTTTATCTCAAAAATAGAAATATTCTTAATCTACCTTTGCAAGTATCAATTTTTGATGTGACACCCATTCAGTGTGTTGTAAGGTGCTTAGGATCATGTTCAGTACGACCACGGCATCGGTCTTCTGATCGAGCTGAAAAGTTAAGATCTGGTTCAGTTACCCAAGTATGTGAAAAAGGCACTCGATTGAGTTGACGATAGAACATCAAAAAATTAAAATTCTGGAAGTGATTTTCTTCACTCCACCTCTACCCCTACCATCTCAACCCGCTCCCCCCTCCCCCCCCCCCCTCCCCTTCTGCCCTATCGCACTCTATCCAAGCTCAAAGATCGCTTCTTTGTTGACTTGCTCTGTTTATTGTCACAGTTCTGCTGTTGTGATCTATGGCTCTTTGATTTGCTACTATTTTGAGCTTACGAAAATTTTTGCGCGTGCTCTATGTAAATTCCCGTAGAGAAAGGTCAAAATACAAAAGTTCGGAACACATATTGCGAAAAAACCCTCAGTAGAGCACCTATTCAGAAATTAGAGCAGGGCGGAGCTTGCACCATCGATCAGTTGCCTAGCGATGCTAACATGTAAATTCACCAGCTAACAAGTAACCCCGCAAAAACCTGTTCACCACTATGATGCTTTCCCATTGGTAGAAAATAAGGCGTCCAATGGCAAGACAGCTAAACTCCGCCCCTCATTTTCCCCCAAATCAATACTACATCTCTCACAAGACAAAAAAACTCACATCCTTATTTGTAATCATTAGGCACAGATCCATATCGGATGTATTGTTGCCAAAACCATTTAGCGATGATCCAACAACGTATAAACCGCACACTAAAAATAATTTTTCATAGGATAAAAATGGAAAATGAAATAAGCAAAGACTTACTTGGAAATACTGGACATATCGAATAGTACAGCATATCTCGTAGATGCAATTTTCTATTGAGCATTTTTTCGGATTGTGTAACCGAATTATGATAATGCCATATCTCTTCGCTTAACTGAAAATAAAAAAGTAAATTTGAAAAAAAAACCTGCAAAGTCAAAAAAAGAGTTTTTGTCCCGCAAATGATAATTGCTGTCCTTCAAATTCAGTAGATGGCATCAGACATTTTTCCTTCTCAATTTTTCTCAAGCAATCAATGCATACCGATAATCTGCGCCATTTACATTTCAAAAACCATAACATTGCGCTTCTTTTGGATGGGAATTATGTGCTATATCTTATAGATGGGAATTATGTTTAAAAACACAAACAGAAACGGCACCAAAAGCTAATTGACCAAAAATAGCTTCACAGGAACAGGAAAACATCACATCAAATCATGTAAACAGCAGCAGCTTGATCGTCTACAATAAAACCATCAAACAGTCTGTTTTAGCATAGATTATAAAATAAAATAAAAATTTCATTTTGAAAAATTTTCTATCAAGTATAACGTGAGGGTAGAATATCGGTGTTGCACAAAGACTTTAGGAATAAAAACGTATCGTTTTCCAGTTTAAGGAAACCGCGATTTCAATTTTGAAAAAAAATGATTTTTAGGGCCCAGAAAATGTAAAAAAATAACCGTTGCGTAGCAGCCGCCGAAAGAACAACCAAATCAGAAGATTCTGAACTACGAAGATGTCGGAAAATTGAAAAAAATTAGTTTTAAGTGATTTGTATTCGCACTGATCGAGGTGGCTACATTAATCATGCAAATCATTTATCCAACTAGTGAACCAGTTACTGAAAGTGCTAGAGCATCCGCACGCTTCGGGACCGCACCGCAGTTTCCCGCTATCTGATGTTTTCAAATCGGCATTACGATTCTTTATATATTAAATTTTTTCAATCATTTCTTTTTTGCTTCACTAAAAAGGCTTTTGTTTCAAGGGGTGAGCGTTTTTTGAACAATTTTTTGGAATAATATTATAATTTCGCTCAATTTATTGATTTTTAATCTAATGTTTTTAGAATTTCTATTCACACACTAATTTAGTTTCGGCAGATGATCTAAGTGAGCCGGTATGTGGCTCAGCACTGGGTCAAGTGGGACAAAAATTGCTTGGAAGAACAGTAGCCCAAGACTGCGCCAATGGAACATTTATGGCCCACACCGCAGAAATTATAATAGTATGAATTTTGGTACTATGCATGCTTATTGACTATAAGTAATGAACTAACCACATCCATTTCGGAAATCTCAAATTGCACTCCGCGATTTATTGTTGGTTGTGGTGTCGGCGGACAGACAAACGTCGTCTGTGCGACTTCTGTCGTATCGGCTAGCTCGGACACGTACGGCGTGGACGAGTTGTCGTTGATGACCGTAGCGGAATTAGCGGCTAGCGATGTTGCCGCAACTGTTGTTGCGTTCGATGACGACGATGACGACGAAAGACCTGACGCTGCCGCAGCGGCAAACGACTGTATACCGGACGAGTTGTTGCTGCTGCTGTTCGAGCCTGTAAGGTATGAGATAAGAAACTCGACTATAAACAGAGGAATCAAAACACGAAGCGAATGCGCAGGTGGATGAGAATGCGTTGACAACTTAATTAATTCCCATTTCGTACTTCAAAAAATGGATTTTTTTCTTGTCCTTTTTAATAACTACCCAAAACAACGAAATATTGGTATTATTCGTCATAATCTGACCAGATGATTCGCAATCGTGGATTCTGCAAAGTTTTTGAAGGGACTTGGCAGGCTGAAGTAACGTTGTCTTATTGATTCAACGTGATACCGTCACAGAATTAAGGTCGGCCTATGGTAGGAGGGTCAAGATGTCAAAATTGCACACATATTTCAAACGGAATGGGTTCTTCAGGGCTCTAATTATGACTTTGACATCATCCCTCCGTCTTAAATAATCACCACCTTGAGCGCTAAAGATGTCATAGCATAATCAGCATGTGAAGCATCACCTCAAAAAATTTTGGGTCATTTCAGAACTTTGACCCAAAAACCGCACATCTACCCCTACACCCACCGTAACTCCCAAAAAGTGACGCGACCGAACGAAAAGATTTTGCTGTGAACAGCGAGATATAAACAATTATGGACAAAATTTTCTGACAACGAGTTTTGTAGTCAACGAATGTCAAATTCACAACATATCTATGGCATTTCTGGAACAAAAAAAAAGGAACTAGCCAACTGAGTATGAGTAAGAGAACACAGCGCATTTTTGGAAAAAAAAAGCTGAAGACCACCCCACAAAATGGCAAAAATCATACTACAAAAAATATCTAAAGCAAAATTCAACACGATTCAAATCGCACATCACTATGCCAAGACCCGACAACGAAATGACTGCGCTATTTTTTATCTCCCCCCACATAACTAACCATGCACTACACATCATCATGTACTTTATAAGACCACACAAAACAGAAAAATAATAAAACTCGCGTAAACAAGAGCGACAGAGATCCAAGCTAACAACTGACCTAACGAATTATTAACCGGTTTTCCGGTTGCTTTCGACGATCCACACGCCACCGCCGTCGATGAGCTCTTCGAAACTGGAACTTATCGAATTTTACATAATCCTTATTTCAACACTATGGGAAAGCAATATAGTCATAGAAGAAATGTGTAACTGATGAGGGGTTCGGCTAAAGGCGAGAGGAAAAGGTATCATACTTTCAGAAAAACAAAATTCTTTAGTACAATTTTTTACCAATAATAGCTCAGCCTATGATGTGACATTCCTTTTATGTCTACGCAAATGAAAGGCTGTAAACAACTGCAGCAGAGTCTACTGTTACTAAGAGTGTCTGTAAAAATAACAAGACCAATACGACCACAGCGGAAAAACAAATGAATTTTCATAAATTTTTGCACTCTGCTAATATATTCTTAAGAGAAATCGACACATCTCTCAAAAAAAATTTATGTTTAGACCCTAATTGCTTATTTTTGAGATCATGAAAAGTTGACAAACACCTCCAAATTTCATGATTGAGTTTAGAGATCAATCGATAAACAAAAAAGACGACCAAAAATCTTTCAAAAAACGGAAACTACACAACCACATGTAGCCTCAGATAGGCCCAAAAACTATAAGATAAACTCCATTTCATTTTTTTTAGTAAACACGAAGGAGAGTACAGTACAAGCAATTTTTTTACCTTGCAGAATATAGATTTTCTTGGTGCTCAAGAGAAAAAAGATTTTGAAGTAATGTAAAGGCAAATCAAAACGAGAATAAATTCATTGTTACTCAGATTTTCTATGCTGAGAGAGGTTAAAGGCACCGTCCACCCAGATTCTCGACTTCCAGCTTTTTGTGGTTTCGGGCCTTTCTCATGTGCCTTATTCCAAATGTGAAGTCGAGAATCTTCGAAAATCCCGAAAATCCCCATTCCGGAGAACACACAAATCGCCTTTCCAGAACGGTGATTGGATGAGAGCGCACAAATGGGCGGGCATGGATGGGGAGGGGCGGGAGTGGATGGGGGTCCTCGTGCATCTTCGTTATTCCGAAGCGATTTTTTCGCTTCCGAAGCGGCATTTTGCGCCGCGACTTGGGCATTGGCCTGATAGGAGGCCCTACTGTTATATGCTGCCAAAAGCTCAACACTCTTAACTTAGGGTGGACGGTGCCTTTAAAGAAACATTTGATTATTTAAAGTTGTATTCAAAGTATTAAGTATTAAAGCATTCAGTAGTTTGAGTTTTTAAAGTTGTTTTTTTTTATATTCATTGTATTCATTAATTATAATACTCAAGGAATACAAAAAAAATCCGAATTTCAAGACAGATGAACATATGAAGTTTCTTTATGCATGACAATATTAGGACAGTGAGTGATCGAAGCGAATAAATTCAGGGGGTAAAAGCCAGAAAAGTCCAGAATTTCGCTTAAAAAATCCAGACGACCCATATCAATTGAAACAAATGCCGAGTTTTGAGCATATATAGTGTTCCAATTTTTTCACCAAACCGAAAAATCACCCAAAACACACCTTTTCAGGAAAAAGCAGATATGAGACTGTTCTCGAAAATTCGTCACTCGTGATATAACAATGCAGGTGTGCGTCACAAGAGGGAGACTGGGAGGGTAAACGAGATTGGGGGGGGGGGGAGGAGTAGCGAGAAATAGCGCTGCTGATCACATGCACACAACACAGCGAGAGGGAAATGACGTGATTGACTCTCGTTGTCGTTGTGTGACTGTGTGCGTCCGGCGACTGGCGATGCCGGCAATGTTCAAACATCACACATACAGATGACACACACAGCAGATACATAACATTGCGTAATACTAAACGATCTACAAAACAAGTTCAGGTAAATCTTCTGAAAGCATAATAAAAAGTACTTCATATGAAGAGCAGAGGCGGGGGAAGGGGCTTCATGTGGTCAAAGACGGCTTTACTAATGTAGAATGCATGAGAATTTACGCAAATGTCGATGGCGAAGTGCGAGGGCAGTAACGTCACGCAACCACGATTAGAATGTTTCCACAACTTATAATGAGACTAGATAAACCAAAAATGAGCCTCATTTGATATATGGGCAGTGAAACGGTAAAAACTTTGCAAATCAGGCATCAGGATGCCATAGGGGCGGTAATTATCTCTCCCGATCTTAGATCGGGCTCTTTTCACCGCCACAAACACTTAATGTGGAGATGAGCGTTCGTTCATAACGGTAGAACAACGTCCGATTTAGATCAGGAGTTGCAATGGCGGAGGTGGAGGGGGATGAGTTGCGAAATTTCGGAAATGGTCGAAATGTCTATAAATTCGTACAATCGATTTATTGGTATTTGTAAACAGTCAGAAAAAATTTAGAATCTTGAAGTTCAAATTGTTCCTATATTTTTGTAGGCCTCTGGCTGTCATATCACACTGCGCACCCCCCCCCCCCCCCACGCTCACAAAAAAATTCTCGGATCCAGAAAGGGCAATGAAAAGGGTAACTTGACACATTAGGTAGCACGCTGCCACCTGAGCACCAGATTAAAAGGTCCCATCAATCTCTAAATACGTCCAGAGATGTGACTAATCAATAAATCAATGTACTCAGTGAAAGTAAGTGTAATCAATGTACTTCATTATTCAGGCAAATATTAGGTCGTTCCGAAGGTAATGTCGCTTTTTTCGAATGAACGCCACTATTCGTGGAATCAACATTTTCAAGAGGTCTTAGGAGCATTCGATGCAGCATTTTATCCTCTTCCTAACGGTTCTATTTTCTCTGCATAATGTTTAGTTCTCGAAAAATTACCAAAATCTGCGACTCATGCTTTTTGCCATGGTCAAATTCGGCTATTTTTCTAAATTTTTGTACCTAATCTCCGAAAAAGTGCAAGTAGCAGGTAGATAGAGCAAACACTATAGAACACAGAGTAATTTTTGCTTCTCCTTAGCTTGCTTCTCAGAGTTTCTACAATCAATTTCTCAATGCCATCAATTTCCATATTTAGTCAAGTCAAACCTCACAGAACAACAACCGGCAAGCGACTCCGGCGCCTTTCGATGCAGCTTTTTCTCCTCTTTCTAGCGGTCGTTTTTTGTTTCCGATTCATCAAGTTTTCCGGGATAAAATCATCATAATTCAACTTTTTCAAGGCACCCCAAGGTGTACCCGAAATTTCCGAAAGTGGCTAAACCGAAGCGGTGAATGCTCGTTTGGCTTGTAAAATTGTTGCCAAACCATAATCCATCTTTGTAAGTTTCAAAATCCGGAGACTTGTTGGCGTTTGAGGCACTTGTGTCTGAGAAGAGCCTGCCAAAATTCGGTGGTTCCATCTAAAAATCTGTACAAAAATTATGACAAGCTCTGGAAAGTAGGAAAAAGTTGTGCTGTTTCCTGTAGGGTTTGCTCCATCCATCCATTAGTTGGACTCCTTCTGAGGTTTGTTATAAAATTTTAGAAAAATTGTGAAACTTGGCCATCTCAAAAAGCAGAGGTCGCAGATTTCGACTCTCATCTGGAAGCTTATTGACTGTATTGCAACAGCGTCATAACCATTAGAAAGAGAATAAAATGCTGCATCAAATGCTACCAGAAACTCTTACAAATCTTTGTTCCACGAGATGTGGCATACGTTTGAAAAAAGCGACATTACTTTCGGAACGACCTAATATAAGTGACAAAACTTCGCATTCGACTTGTTTTAACACCTGAATTACAAAAATAAATTTTTTCTGATTTTGAAAAAATTGACCCAGCAAAAAATGAATTACAAAAATAAATTTTTTCTGATTTTGAAAAAATTGACCCAGCAAAAAATAGGAGGGGAGGTGGCCGCCCTATCACGATGTGCGCCCCGCCCCCGAAAATTTCCTCGGAAAAATTAGGCAACTATCAAGAATTTTACAAATGAGGAGGCAAGTGACAAAACTTCGCATTCGACTTGTTTTAACACCTGAATTACAAAAATAAATCTTTTCTGATTTTGAAAAAATTGACCCAGCAAAAATAGGAGGGGGAGTGATGCCCAAGAAAAAAAACCTTACCACAAGTGGTTTCACATAATTCCTAATGAAATCCACTTACTGCACTAGAAATGCAACTAATCAATAAATTATTCAATAAATAAGCAGCATTCTACAGCTCAAAAGCATAGAAAATCTCAAACACAAGCCTACAACTAGAAGAAGAACATAGCACTTGTGCAATGGAATGTTACGCGCCGATGTAATCACTTCTGACTGGATTGCAATGTTAGCGCGAAAAAAAAGCATCGCTCAACAACTGGATTCTTTTCTTGGGATTCGCGGCGGTGCAGTGCGACGACGATACAAAAGTGAAGAGTATAGGATTCAGTCAGTGTTCAGTGCTTTTTCAAATTGTGTTGTACTTTTGTCGTTTCGTGTTTGTGGTGCTGTCTGGCGCGGTGTATGTATGTAAAGTCGTGCTAGACAGCTTCAATCGGGAAACGTGATCGGTTGATTTTTTTTTGCTACAGACGTACAACACACACATATCGTTTGTTCCCCAGCAAGATATTCCCATAGGTACCACGTCATTTCGCTGCCTTTCGCTCTTTTGAACGTGTTAGCCTCGGGCAGTTCCGTTGAAATCTCAGGTGAAACCTGTCAAAAAGAGCGAAAGGCAGCGTCGCACCACATACGCACGCTGGTTCACATGGGAACTTTTCTGGGGCACACAGGATACACACATAGATGACGCCAAACACAACATAGACGCTAAAAAAACTCAAAATATCAAGGTTATTTGGGCTCAAAATCCATTAAACTAATCATACACCGATTCCATTTGAAGAAATAGAAAAATGTATTTACTATTTTTTCCTTCGCCCAAATCAAAGGTTCATCAAAAAATACTACTCAGCTGTCATTTTGTACAAACCATAATGAAGAAAAGAATTAGCTTGAAAAATCAAAGCTGTCCAAGCAAAAACCGGACCATAATTGATAATATCGGCGCGCTGCAAAAACGTCTTCCCATGCCGGGAATCGAACCCGGGCCGCGTGGGTGAAAACCACGAATCCTAACCACTAGACCACATGGGACACATCGCTGCTGTCGTTAAAGCGCACTATCAAAACACTACTCCGTCCTTCACCAAACACATTTAGATTAAAAAGCAAAATTGTAGAATTCCAAGCTATTGCAAACAAGATCACAGGCATTCGGAAACAAGAAATAGGTCAACAGCTTTTTGAAAAATGTCAAAATTTCGAATCTCAAAAATATCGCAAAAATCTATAACATAATTGAAAAGTTAGCACAGATTGCTATAGAGCTATAATGACCTCTCACAATAGAGGCACAAGGCTATATTATGCGCTGTCATCTGGATTGCTTGAGGTGAGGATTAATCCTTGGCCCAGTAACCTCATGCAATTAACTCTAACCTAGACCAACACTGCACAAAAATTTGGACAAAAATAATTGAATATTTGGTCAATAGCGAAAAACCCTAGAATTACTTTACGCACGTTCATATTGGTTATTTTGTTGCCAAAAACTTGTTTAAGACTGAACAGCAACAGAAAAATGAATCTATCAGCACGCAATCGATCAACATCTTTTTATAGCGATGCAATTCATTTTGCATGCTTCCAGGAATTTTTTTTTGCCCTACGAAAAATATCAAAAGATAGCGTTCATTAATCGGTACTGGAAGCAATCCACAAGAATTGCGCTGTCATTGCCACAAACAATTCACAAACTCAACTAAATTCTACACTATGCTTGCAAGTCAAAAATGTCTATGAAGAGGAAGGGAGAATCGAAGGAGAATAGAAGAGATAGAAAAACTGATAACGCTAAGCAAAAATTATTTTCTGAAATTAAACCAAAAGCCTCCGTGAATACATCGGATAACGCAGAACTCCGAATAGCTCACACATAGCTCACATCCCACCCTTCTGACGAGCCTAAGCAAGACGATTCATTGGCAAAAGCAAGATAATGCACACTGAATTAAGGCAACCTGCAAACTTATGTTCGTTTTCACTATGCTAAAATGCGATTAATGCTGCTGTTTTTATTTCTAATCCCCATGAGCGTTCCCTTAGTAACATCTATTACCAGCTAAGATCAACAATGTGCAGCCCTTATCCCTATAATCGTGCAATGAAAGAAAAGAAAACCCTATAACAAATGGCGAAAAGGATATTAAGATAAAGGAATTTACGATTAAAAACTAGGATGACGCAATCACGCTATAGAATACCGCTCTAACTGCTCTGTACTTCAATCCCCAGAGTTGAACATGATGATCGATTAGGCATACCGTGCCCCTAGACTGAGAGGTTACTGTAGGATTACGGTGAAAATGTTAGCGGCCTAGGTTCAAGCTGTAGGTGTTCTGTGAACCGGAAACGTATTGTGACGGATGGAAGGGGGAAGGAAGGCTAATTTCTTTTTGGAAAGGGCGTACAACCAGCCACGCCCCAAGAGGTTTTTTTTTACAAAGCTAATTTCAATTTCCAGGAATTTGGAGATCATTTTGATCATATGAAAGTGATTTGACTTGCACAAACAACTGATGTGGGTAACCTTTAAAAATTTCGCGACCGATTGTCGGCCCCGCCCCTTCGCTCGGCCGCCATTGCTGAAAACCTACCGTAATTCTACAATAGGACAATGTAGGAGGACAGTAATTTTCATGGGGTATATCTAACGTTGTATTTGCTCTAACAACAAAGCCACAAATTAGAGATGTGGTTTGGCAATGGCGCATCGTGATTCCAGAGAAGAGGTACTATAGGATTACGGTAAGACCTTAGTACGAGTAGTTCCCATAAGAAAGTACCCGGACCATGTGCTTTATCTTAGCTAATCCGAATTGAAAAAGCAGCAAGGGGTAAAGATTTGAGGTCTTTCATGCACAGTCCTGGATGTAGACTGACAAAAAATCGCGAAAATTCCAGCTGAGACCTACAACTGACAATAAAAAGGGTAATGCCCGGTTAGCGGCTAAAAGCGTCATAGGTTACCAGAACTTTCTAGAGCACAAACAACAGACTAAACAGCTGTCAGGTCAACACACACCCACGAACCGAGTCGGTCTCGACTCAGCTCTACGAGCGTGTGCTGTTGCTGATTGTGTGCGCAAACCAGCTCTCAGGTCGATATCGCTGCACTTTACACAACGAATGTCTAGAAGGTTCCAGAGGTTCAGACAACAAATGGTGTTCATAGTCAACTATGTATTAACATAAACAGTGCATGATGAGCACTATTTGCATGCCTACTGTTACTTTCGTTCCACTAAAATTTTTCTACCGCTCGAATCAAAAACCATTTCACAACGCAATCCGAAGTCATGAATGTACAAAATTACCCTCACCAGAAGGGATAAAGAAAAATTCTAGAAGAAACACACCACTGGCGGTACGAAAAATATTTCAGAAAAGGTGGGGGAAGGGGACAAAACCGGGAGGGGGGTGCTATATTTTGCAACAACCTCCTCCAAAAAAAAGGACTAGGCGGAAAACCCAAGAAAATTTTTTTAGAGAGCTAATCTGAATCCAGGAGCCTATTCTAATCAATGCAAAATAAACCATTCTAAGCCAATTTCAGAAATTTTGTGGCCTATTCTTGGGGAGAAGGCAAGATAGAAATTAAACAAGAAATCGACGAGTGGCGCTTTTACGGTGAAATTAGTCAGGCTCTGAACAATTTCGCTAATGCAATGGATATTCCCAATTTTTGAAAATATAGATAAGTTATTTATTATAGCTTGGTCATCTTAGAATTTATAATAAACTAAGAATCCAATTCATGACATTAGCAACTCCCTAGGATTCTTTCAGGGATTTACGTTGTAGGCCATTTCGCACAACCGTCACACTGTTAGTGTATTTCTATACAGGACCGCAATCGCGCGCAAAACACCCTGCGGCCATGAAAAACTGTTACGCGCAACGCGTTAAGACGAGTCAAACAGGACATCTGTTGGATATTGTGGTGCAAAACGGCCGTCTCCGCTACACTCCTTTTTAAAATGGTTTGCCTAATTAAGGGGTTTTGTAGATTGGACACTAGAGGAAGCCATACGTGCGTATGGCTGACAAGTCAAAACTCGTAATAACAATCTCAAATGTTTTCTTAGGCCTCGGACAGAGTTCACGCGATTTGATCGTCGCGATTCAATCGCCGCGATTTTCATTCATTTTCATTTTACATTCAAAAATTTCGGGCTGTAAAAGTATCACAACCGAAATGCAAGCTGGTCAACATGCAATGAACTCGTAACAGTTGTCTTGTCGCGATTGAATCGCGACGATCAAATCGCGTAATCTGCCCGAGGCCTTACTCAAAAGGAGGAAAAGAACAGGTTCAGTCTTGTCAGGGAGGCATGCTAGCAAGCTCGAATACGTTAGTTCATAAAAATCCTATATTCATTACATAAAAGTCCACTTGGACAGTCATCAGTTATAGTAAGGACATTGATGATACAATTTGGCCTAGACTTCGAAAACAATAAAGACAAAAGAGATCTCAGATCTCACAAAAGCAAAATTAGAGCGCAGTACTCATAAATGACGTGTAAATCCACTAGGAGCTTATCTCATTTTCTAGAGATTTCGCCGACATTATTAATTACCGCAAAACGACCTTTAATTCGTTGGTAGCACAGCTATATCAAAGTTTTACTGAAATCTCTGACACAAGTTCGATACGAATTCATAATCGGAGCTTTGAGAAAAAACACAACTATCGAACAAAAACGCAAAATGGACTCACTTGAACGCGGCGAATCGACAGGTAGTGGCGGTGACGATTCACTTTGATACCCGCTTTCTCCTGAAAAAATTTGAACTTAGTGTACAGACATGAATTATATATAGACTTTGACGGAAATCTCTCCCGTAAAGCCATATATTTTACAGCCTCTAACCGATCATAGCCAAGCGCCTTCTTATACTGCAGATTGCTGCCATGCGTTTGTGGCGCGACACACAAGAATGAGTCTTGCCATGAAGGCTTTAGCTAGTTTATGTTTATCATTTTCGACTGGGGTACATTCGCATCGTTCCTCTCAACATTCCTCATTTTACAGCTCGGAAGGTCGGTTGGTCTTCAACAAAATTGGGGGAAAACTCCATGAAAACTAGAGGATGAGTACTCTTTGACTCAAGTAGCTTGGCGTCTGGAAGGCGGGGCTTCGTGACCCAATTAAGGCTAGGTGATGGTCAGAGACTCGCGTGCGGGATAGACGTAAACTGCGCCGCGGGTGCGAGCGGCCTCAATTAGGTCACAAAGCCCCGCCTTCCAGCCGCCAACCCAGTTGAGGCAAAGGTTAGCTATGCTTTCAAGCCGAAAAATACGAAAAATTGAAACAAGGGGACAGCATTATTTTATTTGGAGACGTACAAATCGCAGCTTCGTGAAGGGGTCGTCAAGGTTGAGATCGGGTTTGATACCACTATTCTAAGCCAATGACTAAAAGTATAAGATATCAAGCCATCATCACGTTCCTGGATGGGAATAACATTCCCAAAAGGTGAATGAAAAAATTTAAAAAGAAATCAAACTTTCAGAGTTTGGTCATGCTGTTCTTGTGATCTTGAATTCCTATGATTCCCAAATGAGCCATGTGATCCCTGTGATTCCTACGCTTCCCATAATCTTCGTGATTCACATAATTCCCGTAACTCCCTTGATTTCTGTGATTTCCGTATTCCGTAATACCCTGATTCCTGCGAACCGTGACACTGTGATCGTGCAGACAAAAAGTACATAACAGTTTAGGCGTTATCCAGCTGCACAATCAAAAACGATGCGCGTAATTATACGGAAACTATACTTTTGGACACCTAAACGTATGCGACTTAGCGCGCAAACAAAAAAAAATTCAGTTTTATAACGCGCTATACTGCCTATCATTGACTATGGCATATTTTAAGTCAGACGAATAACACTCTTTTTTTGGGTGGCGGTGACTAGAACTGTTGATGAAGAGCATGAACATGTATCGAATGTGAGCCAGTGAAAAACGCCGGCTCACTTATAGTCTAGTAGGTCTGAAGCTCTATGTTGAGCAGTTTGCCCCCCCCCCCCAATTTCTCACTCGCAAATGTTGTGCAAAAAGAAACTATCCGACAAACCAAACATACAAGTACGGTGAAAATGAATCTACTGGAAATAGATTAGCTCTTAGACGCCGCCTGCGCAGACACTTGCCACGGATCATGCACCTCTACACATCATAATTTGTAGCAGTTAATCTAGGCGAAACCCGACGGCGGCATTTGCTTAACCGAGCTTATCTACCCATCCTTTGTTCAACTGGAATGGCGGCTGGAAGGCGGGGCTTCGTGGCCTAGTTAAGGCTACAGCATGATCAGAGAGCACGCGCGCGAGAGAGACGCAGACTGCGTCGCGGGCGCGAGCAGCCTTGAGCAGGTCACGAAGCCCCACCTTCCAGCCGCCAATCCACTTGAATCAAAAGGTATTTACCTAATCATGCCTATCTCAAACATGGTAATGTGATTTCCTGATAGGAACGATTTTCTTTATAAGGAATACAGGGAATGCTTTCCGCATATCAATTTTGTGTTTTCCATTAAAAATATTCAACCTTTTGATTGACAAATTGCATTGATTTTACCAACGAAGAGAAAAACATTAATCAGACTTGTCCACCAAGGGAACCAAAATTCGGTCAACTGTAGTCCTGGTAAGGCCTAGCAAATCGATAGAGATGCAGCTGACGTTACCAATGCCCTTTCGAATAAGTCACCCAACTATCTACATAGCTTTATCGATTCAGTGAGAGTAAACCAGCTATCTACATAGTGTTTCATCGATCCAATGAAACCCAAAGTCAATGACTAGTCTGGAAATTTGCAAAATGCTCTAAAAAGTAAAAAAAAAAATCCTTACTTAGAATCCTGGGCAGCACAAACGAATACGGCGGTACAGTAACAAATCGTAGGCTCGGTTCACTGTATACCTCCAAGAATTTGCTGAATCGATGTGCTCGCTCGACATAGTCCAGCTCGGCTTCGGTCAGCGGTTCGACCACGCAACCACCTCGCCATTCGCAAGGTTGCTCATCATCAATGATATCTCTCGGAGCTTCTTCAGCCTCGTCGACATCGCTCAAATCACATTCGGCATCACAGCATGGTGCACCTCCGGATGAGGCGCATGTGCCTCGTCCGGAGTCTTCTTCACTATGTTCGCCACACGGTTGCAGTATCGATGATGCCGAGTCGATACTGGCGCAGGAATGGAGTGGAGAGAGTTGCTCACGTTCTTCGTCCACTTCTTGCTCGTCCACTTCGGGAAGGCGATGAATTTGTGGGGACAGATAGGTGGTGGGTAACTGGGTGATTGGATGCCGATAGAATGGTGCGTCGGGATTGCGGAGGAGGCGACGCACTGGACGTGACCACGAATCCTCCACCGAGCACGACGGCATCGATATGTCTGGCAAAACAAATCGTGTGTCCACGCCTAATGCCGCCATGTAGCGGCTTGATGCCGATACATTCACTTCCACCATTTATTCTCGTCCCGCTATTTCGTGAAATTCCAATTTTCCACAGCAGCCAGCAAAAATTAACAGCAAATCAACAGGAATGGCCGAATAACGAGGTAACACTCAACAGTAACAAATCAATAATAGTAGAATCTAGTATTCTTCTCTCTTCTGCTTCTTCTTCTGCACGCTACGCTAACGTCACGTTACCGACGATTACGGTATCTTTACGGTATTCGACGACGCTACTAGTATATCCTGCGGTCTTTGCTCTCGCTGATTAACCGCAAACTGCTAATTTCGATTTGACCCTCCGTTTTGTTCACCTTCGTAGTTATCAGCATTGGGCGAATGAGGCCGTCTTGTTAGACAACCGACACCTAAATGCTAATTGCTCTTGTTGATACTTCGTTGCGCGAAACACGTGCTTTGCAATGCGACGACGATAAGAACAAACAAAAGAAAGAGCTTTAGTCAATAGTGAAAGCTGATCATGACGTAAGCACTTCGGGAGGGTTAGAGGAAGAGATATCAGAAGTATTTGAAGTCAGAGACAGTGCCCAAGCAAATTTAAGTAGCTCCGCTTCTTATGTAAAAAGTGGTTGGATATCGACATATACCGTAATAGCTGCAAACTTTCGCCCGAAGAGTACGGTGTAGGCAAAAGTCTAGACTTGCTCTTTATGTACAGACTGCTAGATAGTCTTAGTTCATCTTATTCATAAACGAAAATTTCAACTTCAAACCTTAGCTCGGACCGGGCTCACACCAAGCGGACCAATCAGCGTCCTCGATTACGGCATGCTGATTGGTCCGCTCGAGAAGAGTACGGTCTGGATAAAGGGTTTAGAGTCGAGCTCCTCGCTTACATAAATTATAATCCATGAGGAGTTTCAGAGACAGTGCTCACGCGAATCTAAGTATATCGTCTTCAATGCTGAAAGTGGCTAAATAGTTGAAACTCGGTACGTATTTTAGCTTCGAACTCGCCCGGGAGAGTATGGTGTAGATGAATGTTTAGAATTGAAGCCTTCATGTACAAATTGTGAGGTAGTTCTAGCTTGGCCGAGAACTTCAGCTTCTATCCTGATTTAAACGGTGCTCATTCCAAACGGACCAATCAGCATTCTTGATCGAGGTTCGCTGATTGGTAGGTAGAATACGGTCTGGGCAAGGGTCTAACGTTATAGCTCTTGTTCACGAATGAAGCATATGAGCTTTCTCTTGGGTGATGGCTCAGTTATGGTATATGTATACTTATATCGGCTTAGCTATCGAGAAAACAGAAATTCATAAGACGGAATCGATATTCAGAATGACTTCGGCAAAAGATTAAAATAAACCATCAATCAAGGTCATCAGAAGGAAAAAGCGCCGGGGAGGGGTGGAGAGAAGCTCAATTCAAAGCCATGAGCAATTCAAAATTCATAGGTAAAATTCTTCAAAATCACCTTCTAAGAAGACGCAAAAGAAACTCTGCAATGAAGATGCAGAAATGTTCTTTACACTTTGTTGTAAAGATTTGCAAGAAAGTGACAAATAAGGGCGATAGGGAAAAAGTGCAAGTGTCAAAATATGGATAGTATGGCGTAAATAGCAGAAAAAAACGTATTTTACGGTATAGAAAAAAGTAATTTACATCATTTATCAGTGAACAAACAGCAGCAGAGATAATTACAATAGTTTGCAGGGTTACTGTAGCTTCTTAATGTTCTTAAGAGAGCATTTTAAGCAAATTTTATGCAATTCTTCTAGAAAAAAAGCTGATATTCTCATTATAGGGAGCATCTTAGGACTAAGGGAAGACTAGAAGTGGCGTAACTTGATAGGTTCCTAGCCATAATGAGAACTGAGGAAAGTTCTGATGACATGACACCTGGTCGCACTAAAGAGTACACTGCAGTCTCCAAATGTACTCTCTAACAGTACATCTTCCCAAAATGCACTAGAAGTGATACCATTCTCCTAAAAACCAATAAACCAAGTAGACGAACACTACACCAATTCTGTACCATTGATTAATTAAGCAGAACATCGTAGGCTCGCTTGTTCCCTTTAAAGGTAAGAATGAGCAAAATAAAATAAGCTGCACGAACGCTCACATATTAGCGCTGAAAATTTCAATTTCGTCACATTAATTATGAATCATCACCCTAAGGAGTGAGCAAATTTGCCTTGGAGCACATAGCTCAAGAATAAAATACAAGTTCAAAAGGATACTATGGTTTTTGTTTTGAAGTTTGAGACCAAAAACTTGAAGAACTTTAGTTCACACTGCTTCTTACATATTTGTTCTCAATCTCCGGGAAGCAAGAAA